GAATAGATGTGTGGGGAACGTGCTGTGTGGTTGCGTGCACATGCTACTTTTCAAGTGGAGAAGAGCACTGAAGAGCTGAGCACTTTAGTTTGCAGTAATTTCTGTCTCTTTCCCTGACATGCAGGTGAGGGCACCCTTGAACTATGCTACTTCTCCGTCTATCTTTAGACAGATTTGAACAGTGTGTAATCTCATCGAGCACACAGTCTGCTCAGAATCAGTGTCCATATCAATGGCTTTGAGCTTCCAGACTCATAATGCTAATACGGCTGGGAATGTAAAGAAAAAGGAGAATATTGAGAGAGATCCTCTGTTGCTGTAAGCTGCAGAAATAATCTGAATCAAGTATATCTTTCCATTACATGGTTTCTTACCAAAGCAAAAGCCCAGCTCAGGGCTGCTATTTGCCGGTGTTCATACTTTTCCCTTTTTTGGCTGGTATGTGTCAGTTATGGCTGTGTATGTACTGATGATGGCAATGTATTTGTTATAATTTTTTCTTGTCCTAAAGGGTCACAAAGCACCATAGCAAAGCTGTACCTACTTTAATGTGAGGCTCTGCCTAATGTACCACCTTTGGACTGGGACAAGGCAGCTCTTTATAACCTCTGAACCTATGCTGGAGGTTGTTGGTTTAAAGCCATTGGGCAGAAGCTGCAGCAGCTAGGTTTGCAGCAGATGTTGTGAACTACAGAGTGACTTGAAAATTAAATCACTTAGTTGCAATCAAACCGCTTCTGTTTTGTGTGCGTGTTTTTCCCCAAGCATTTTATCCATCCTTAAGAAACACATGCGGCAGCTCCGAAACCATAATTTTGCTTGCACAGTCTCAAATGAAATGTGTGGTCCCTAAACAGCATGTATCCAGCAAGCACTAATTCTCCACAAACTAGCTTGTGGTGCGCGTATGATTTTTTCATTGCTAATTCTTGCTTTAACCTGATGTGAGCCTAAATAAGGACTTTGTTTTGGGGTTTGCCAAGAACAGCGTTCTATGTGTGTAAGTGCATATATAGTCATGGTAATCGAGGCCATTGGATCCAGATTGTCACTATTGAAAGGATGCAGTTGTGCTTGAAAAATACATATGCGTTTGCATACGCAATTACTCAAGTTGGAGCTTAGGCATTTAAAAGGCCATTTGTGCTCTCATTTTTGATTATTATGCCCATCCTATGGGAATGGGTTTATGCAGATTAGGCACACAAATATGTGTGTGTTTTGAGGTGTGTGATACTGAAAACATGTTGCTTTACTTGGACATAAACTTGGATTGATTTATCTTTTTTCCCGCCGTGAAATATCTGTTCTAATCTGAAGAATGTGAACTGTGGTGGCTGAACAGCAGTGCTTCAGCAGTATGTTTTCCTTTTCCAAATGGCTAACTCTTGTAATTGTTTCTGTAATGTAAGCTAATATTTCCAGCTAACAGTTATTTAGGGTGCTGTCATGACAAGTTGTAATTCAACCCTGTTGCCTAGTGGTCCAAGTAATGACCAAGGCTTGCCCCTAGCTGAATTATCATTCTTTTGTTTCTTTCCCTTCATACACACAAACAAGTCTGTCTTTATGCCAAACTCTGAAATACACAGGAAAGCAGAAGTGGTATTTTTGATTCAGAACTCCATCCTAGCAGCTTCAGGGAGAGAACTGCTTATAGGGTTATGAAGGTCTTTGAAGGGCTTGTTAGTGACTAGGCTCATGAGGCTCTGCTCCATCACACCTTTAATATCTCTACATGAAGCATCTACTGTGAATACGTAACAGAGAGGATGAAGAGGTATGATCTGATCTGTGACTAGAAGACAGTTTGGCTGGATGCTAAGTTGCTGCCCCAAAACCTTAAGTATTCTGAAATTTTGAACCTTTGAGTCACCCAACTTATGACCCAGCTTATAGAAATAACACCTGTAAATAATATAATGTTTAATGTATCTTCTGTGATTCTCCCTAAAGAAAGAGTAGGCATCAAGAAAGGAGAGTAGTTATGTGAATGTCACAAAGATATGGAGCTTTGTCAGTAAAATCTTTGCTGAGGAAGAAATTAATTTTTAGTTCTTTCACATTAATAATCCTATTAAGGGTTAGCATAATAAAGTTTTATTGACTAATTTCCAAGCTGTAATTTGCCAGTGATTCTTTTGAAAATTTTTTAATGAAATGGAAATATACATAGACTGCATAACAATGACCTAATGAAGTGGCAAATCATATTTTTAAAATCACTTGTGATCCAAAACGGCATCTTAATTCTTGGAATTTAACACCATTCACACTGAGAGAATCTGTGAATCATTCAAAGTAATATGGAACATTTTCTAACTTGGGAAATGCTAGCAAGGACAAAATGAGTCTATGAAATGGTTCGTATAAGCTTGGGCCAGCTTTGTAAACTGCTGAAGGAACATGAAACAAGATTATAACCTTGACTTTCTAAAGGGTGATTCATGGACACACAGGGTATGACAATTTGTCTGGTTAGGTGTGGGAGCTCTGCTCCATCGTGGGTGCTTCAAGGACTAAAAAGTCAGTTCTGGGCTCATGGAGAGTCAGAGATGCCCAGGTGGTGCTGGGGCTGCTCTGCAGAGACAGCTCTGAGCAGAGCAGGATGGAGTTTGTAAGAAGCTGAGAAAAAAAGGTCTGAAAGCAAGCCCCAGTCTTGTTGAATGAATGTCTTGGAGACTAGAACTGTGGAGAGTCATGCCTTGGCTATTTCACACTGGAGGGGGAAGGTAATTTAGGGGATAGTAAGCAGAGAGAGAGGTGCAAGTGCTACAGACAGCTGCTGTTTGTGCTCAGGCAGTCCAAACGATATAATCAATGAAAGTAGCCAGCACGGTCAGGCTACATTCCAAGTCTAATGGCAAAAGAGCCTGGATGGATCATGGTTTGATTATCATCCATGCTAAAACTTGAGAGACAGCACAGGGACTGGTAAGTTTATGTTAGTATAACAGAGAGGCCCAAGCAGTGGCTCCAGTCTCTAGCTTGTGTTTCCAAGTGTCACCTGGGAACTGACGTGCTGAAATTTTGCATTAAGGAGTGATTTCTGATTACTTTAGCTAACCCATAGCAGGACCTACCGGATAATCTCAAGAGGCTTTCCTGGGAGCCTCAACTCCATTTTGTACCTTTGAAGAGGTTGAAGAGATGTTGTATACTTCCATTAAGCAGCTGAATTCAGGAGCTTATCTGCATTCCTTTAAGCTCCCTAGTTTCACATCAGCACATTAAGGAATCTTTTTCCCAGACTGGGAAGGAGAAGGGACTTTTTAGGTCTGCCAGTAATTGTCTTATACCTAGTGCTCGTAGGCTGTCTTTTCTTTCTCCACTTCAAAATGTCACATTGGATTCCTGATGGAATTGGAGATTATCTTCCTCTTTTCTGCTAGACCTGACATTTTTCTGGTTTTCTTCTGCACTGAAGACTTAATTTCTTACATGTGAGACAGGGTGAAAATTAAACAAACAAGCTGGCAGATAGACAGGATGGTTCTTCATGTCTGGAAAGCTGCAATGAGCTGTGACTTAAGAATTACAGTGCTTCATATTCAAACATTTCTTTTTGATGCATTGGGGTGGCATAGGAGCTGACAGTGACATATGGAGAAGGCCCTGTTAGCAGGATTGAGGCTGTTATGTGATAAATGACATGGTATGTCAAAGGACTTCTGTTATCCATCATGCTGGCTTCCTCTGAACAGAGTCTCACTCAAAAGAGAAGTAGCTACACAAACAGCTGGGGGATGCTGTAAATAGGGTCAGTGTTATGCTCCAGAGAAAATAAAGCCGGAAACTGCATGTGTGCATGAGAATTAATAACCCTGGACTTTTGAGTTTAGAATTTTAAAGTTAAATTTCATTTAAATGTCTGTGGTATCTCAGTTCTACGTTTGTGTCAGGAATGTCAAGAGCACTACCTTCGAAAGAACAGTTTTCAGCATTGAATAGCTAAGCTTTCTCTAAAGAAAGGCTGTTTAGTATCAAGTTCAGGATTGATGGCATGGTTCTGACCACTAATATACACCCAGACTTTCCAACTTCCTCCTTTTCATCTCTGTCGACTACTTTGAGTCTGAAAGGTTGTGGAGTGAAACTCATGATTACACTTATGTACGGGAGAGACATAGATACTGTTGCTTTTACAAATGCAGGGGATAGAAAATATTCTGAAGTGAAGGAACAGGGCTTTGACTCTCAAGACTTGATACAACAATGTCCTCTGTAAGACACTTTCTACAACTGTTGATCATTCAAGTTGAGAAGAATCAGGGCAGACTTTCACAGCTCTGAACCTTCCACTGTTGGAAAGTTTGTCAGCTTTCAATCTCAGATTTCTTCTCTCTCGTCAATTTTAATCCAACAATACCTCCTTATTTCTTTTCATTTCAGAATGATGCATAAACCAGTGGCTGTACAAGAGAGGCAAGGGATGTGTGGCTCAGCACAGACACGTGTCCTGTTCAGCCTCCTCTAGTTCATCTCTTTTTTGCATCAGGCATAATAGCTGTATTTTTCCCACATGATTAATGGACCCTCGATAGCTATGTAGTCTATAAACCTAGACAAGACAAGTAGTCTGTCTCTTTTGATCCCTGAACTCCTAAAAGCCTGATTCTGACTCCGCTTAAGTGGTGTTTATGTGCCCACATGCACAGTAGTAATTGGTGCAGAATATCAAATGTCACTATTTGACATTTCATTCATAACAGTAGTATTTAAAGTAAAGGCTTTAACTTGATGATTCATCAGGAGCCAGTGTCAAATCATCTGGGATGGTCCCCATTTTAAAAGTTTCAATCAACAAATGGATTACTCTAGAGATAATTTAATCAGAGGCCATCAGTGAACTGGCTTTAAAAAAAAAAATCCTTCAAGTTTATTACCACAGCCTTATTGCACATGAGACTGGAGCTTGTTAGGGAGCACAGTCTCGGTAGAAGAGTTGCTACAACTTCTGTAGCCCCTCTAACAAACCCATTTCTGGGAGGATGGAGTTGTAACTCCCTCAGATGAATCTGTCCTATAGTAAAATACAGGACTTAAGCTTCTGTGGCTGTTGAGCTGACAGCTCCTGTCCAGAACAAAATTTTCTAAACACAAACCAGCCTAAATACATAGATGACTGCCCCCTCCAATTGCTGTGCTCCACTTTATTTGACAGTACAGCTTTTCCTTCACAAACTCTTCATGTGATGAGACACTTATTTCAGCTGTTGACCCCTATCAATGACCCCTCACTGGGAGATCAGGTGTAGAGAACCAGGCTATTATCTGCCTTCCACTCACACATTTCTAATCAAAGCAGCCAATTTTGCTAACGCCTACAGCTGAAGTCACAGTGAGTGAGACCTGGCTGAGTACAGAGAAAAGAAGTGCTTGGAATGGTGGAGACAGGGGTAAGAAATCCTAAGGGTAAGGCTAAAAAAGAAAAGTCAAGCTGGGAGAAAAGATGAACAAGCAAAGCAGGGAGAAATTTTAAATTCTAGTTTCATATTTAATGTAAGAATTCATGAAGATCAGCAGAGTGAGGTAGAGAATCTCCATACCCTCCACATATCTCTCCATGTTTTCTTACTCTGTGCAATGTTGGTAAAATATTTAGCATTATATTGTATTTTCAGCCTGTATGCTTAAGAAAAAATAGGTTAAAAAATAAATAAAATCCAAAGCAGCTCTAACAGGAAGATATCTCTTCATCTGTTATAGAGGTTGATGTTTAGTCCAGTTACAACATCTGTTGAGCTCTTCTGACCTAGGTTTTGAATTCTTATAAGTCTCAGAGAACACTCAAAGTTATGAGCCTCCATGCATTCTGGGTTCCAGAAGAAAAGGTGGACAGGGTGGCACCGTCTGCTTGGTCTTTGAAAGTTGTTGTCCAGGCTCTTGGCTATCCCTCTTTATGGTCATTACTGCAACCAGATAAAATCTTGTTAAAATTATCCTTGGTGATGTGTCAACCATTAATGTTGTTTCCTGCCTTGGAGCATTAATTTCAGATGATAACCACAGTGCTTACTTTCCAACGTGATATAGAGGTGTCATTGCTTGTCATGTTTGAATGTTTTAACTGCATTTCAATAACAGGCAAATGATACCAGTATTTTGTAAGCTGGTGGAGCAGGTTGTCAATAGTTTACAGTCACAAACGATTGATTGGCATCTGAGGCTGGGTACTGATACGCTGCCTTTATCTGCCATGGTCTTTGATTTTCAGTTTTTTTCTGGTTTAAAGGTCCTGTAGTCTATAATTACTTTTTTGGGGCTGATAACATTGTATTGTTAGCCACAATTTGAGAACAGCTGTTGTCTTCAGTTCCTGTATGCTTCACTGTCTGGATTATAATTATAGTCCATAAATTGTGTTAGGATTCTTGGTAGCAAGAAGTAGGCTGAAAATGAGATTCTTTTCGGTATTTGTGTCACTTTGCAGAAGACAGGGAAGGAAGAGGAATATTGCGAAAGGACAAGTCTGTGCTGTTTTTCTCATCTTTCTTGGTTTTTGATGTGAGCAAGAGTTTGTCTGGCATATTTTCTAGGATTGCAATCAGATGTTCACCTGGTGCTACTTGGATTTATAGCATGAACTTTCAGCCAGAACCACCACACTGCAACAGCTTCTTAGCAATAGGAGAGCGATATGAGCATCTTTTCCAGTGAATGACCTGATTCTTTATTTGTAACTCTGCAGTAGAGCTAGTGGAAGATGCTCTAAGCAAAGTCCTGGGTCTCTGAGTATAAACAAAACAACACTTCGTCCCTGAGGACCAAGCTGTTGGTTTTTCTTATGCTTTATGCCTTTTCAGTTGTGTGAATAGAAATGTAAATATTTACCTTATCTTGGATTGTTTTTCTTCACTATCCTAGCATACCCTGTGTGTGTGTATATATACATATGTATATTTCTCTTTCTGGTCCTTTTCTGTGCCAATATGCCTCAATATTGACCTGTGGTCACAGTTTTGCCCCTATGGAATCAATCCACTCTGTCATCTGAGGGAGCTCTGGCCTACCCTAGTTCTCTTGCATTTGTAAAATGATTCATTTCTGCCTATTCAACACAATTGGCTATATCATATTCCTTAAGTAGCTTTGCTCCCCACTGGCCTATTCTATTACAATATTTTCCCTATTACTTACGTAGAAATGTTTTATATTAAATAATAGAGAGTTTTAAATGGTCTCATTATTAGCATTCAGAAGTCTTTAGTGTAGCTTAAGCTCTCCTCAGACCTGGTGCAAGCTAAAATCCCATTAAAAAGATTCCTGGGTTTATATCTTCCAAACCATAACTTTCATTTCTATGGCAATTTCCCTTCATCACCAAGAAAAAAACAAGCAGTGTTTGTAGATTCTCAGGCTAATAATTCAATGATTACGATATTAATGATATGTTGTGCAAAACAGGTGGTGGTGTGGGGGGAAGATATAGAAGAGAAGAGCAGCTATCAATCTTGAAAATGGCAGCAGATTTCTTTGTTTCTCCTCCTTGAAACTCATTTGGCTAAGTGAAGTGGGATTGGGTTTGATCGCTTGTTTTAAAAATCATGTTAGTAATAATCCATTTATCTGCGGGATATGTGGAAAGGCCTCTGAATTCCATGACTTACTGTAAACATCTCTGGGGTTTCACTCTCAGCGTCTGCAATTGATGCCACTCATCCCAAATAGGTAAAAATGTACCTCAGCAGGGTAGGAAAAGAACTTGAAGTCATTTAAAAGCCACATTGTGGTTTTTATTTAGATAAAATTAACCAGCATATGCTTTTTTTAGTTGTGTGATATGAATAAAACATTTGTCTGTGTGGAGCTGATTGTAACATAATGTTCCTGTTGCTTCCAGTAGGGATTTGGGAAGGGATTTGCTTTTATATACTGTCATACCTGGGGGCTAAGAAGATGAATGTCCAGCCGGGAAGAGAAGTTGTTCCCATATATAATTTCTGGATTTTTTGGAATATTCAGCCACAGGGTACATTTGAGAGGAAGATGATCATATTTATGTAGCATGATGTATGGCATATCTGTGGTATATCCAGTTATATGAAGGTTATTGATGGATCAGTCCCCTAAAGATAAGGGTACTCTTCTTTTTTGAGCAGTTTTTTCACCAATTGTAAGCATTTCACTGCTGCAAATTTGAAGTGTACTGACAGCATTTATAGTTGATGGAAAGAAGGCATCTTTTCCTTCATATCATATGACATAATAGAAATCAAAAGGAAGCTAGAAAAGCACAATGTAAAGTTGACAGGTAACACCCAGAAAGCCTGCTCCAACAGGACAAAGCTTGACATTTGTCACCATCATATTCAACAGGTCACACTGAGTGGCAATATTGAGCTCTGAACATGCCATTATGATGGGTGGCAAGGAAAAGACTTTTTTGATCTGTTTGAGATTATCTTCTGTCCAGGAACAGAATGAATAAGAAGCTTTATGACTTGGATCTAAATAATTTAATTTGTTCCTCTTACTAATACAAATTACTTCTTTTAATGTACAGCATGATGCACCAAGTGATAACGTATATTTTTGGCAGATTATGAGCCTACGAGTGTCGTGGAAGTGCATATTCTGCTGGTTATTCATACAAAATAGTAAACCAGTCATTTGGTGAACCTTCTTGGTTCTTCTGTTTTAGGAAATCATAAATCTAGATGGCCTTTTGCGAAGCAACGTGTGAAGCATCTCTACAGCCTTTAGCTTTGAAGGGCAAGTTAGTCAACAGAGGGACCTTGGCTTAGGGTTGGATTCTTCTTTTCTATACTCTACTATAGATTCACAGTAAATAAAATTACTTTGCAGGCTGACTGTCTAGCTGGAAGCATAACTCACTTGTGATGTGTAAATTCTCCTGTTTTCTTTTTTTTTTATTCCACTGTCCTAAGAAATTGTGAACTTTATCTGCCAACCAATCGGAATCTCCCAGTGAAGCATCTGGCTTAAACATCTGCTGGCAGAGGAAACGATTTGCATCGCTGCTAACAAGTAGCAAACATTGTGTATGCGAGGGTTGTGATGACAAGAAAACTCCATTTCCTTTGGGAACAGCAAAAGGAAGATATGTACTGAGGTTGTCTTGACATCACAGCTTTTGCTAGGACCTGATGTGTACACACGCACACTCTACTAGAAAATTAGAGTATATATATTTATTGTGCAGGAAATCCAAATGTTTTTTATCCCCTTCTGATCACCTAACTTAGTCTAACTCCAGAAACTCCTTCTAAAATCTGCTCCATTTTTTGTTGTCTGATTTCCTTTTGACTCTTTAGGTAAATGGAAAAATAACTGACCCTTCCACTCCCATGGGACAAGTGGGAAGGACAGTGGCAGAATCATCCACTGGTATTCAGCACTTGGAGGGATGAGGCCTGAATCCTTTCTTACAACATTAGCAGGTTTTTAGCCCGGGTTAAGTATTCATTAAAATGTAACCCACAATGTCATCCATAAATACAAGGCACAGCTTCTCTGAATGTTGCATAGATGTTTTCTGTGTGGACATTCCGAGTTGAGTTTGAAACAGAGATAAGCGATCAGGTTAATGGAGCAGCAAAGGCATATTTGCAGTTGCAAGCAGAGAGCTAAATAATAATAATAAATCAATAAGTAAATAAATAAAATTCAAGCAGCTCTCTTCTCTGAATGCCATTAAGGGATTGTGTCCATTCAATCAGTGTAGGCACTTTGCATTTGATGAAATCCTGAGCGCATGTAAATAATACTTTGAAAATACATGTATAGTTGACTCAAATGTCCTTTTGCAATGATGGGAGACATGTTTTGGAATGAACTTCAGCTCAGCTCGCTGAATCAGGGTACCCAGGGAAGTGTTTCTTTCCTTTTGAGGCTCTCAAGTTACTTTTATGTGTGGAAGTAAAAAATAAAAATAAAAAAAGTCCATACATCTGTCCTAAGCTTTATTCTTGACACTTCATCTGCTTCAGGAAGATTTACTGACCTGCAAGAAGTATGATTTGACTGAATTGATTCCTATTGTTTCTTTAGCATCCCCCAAACTGGTGCTGCAGCAAAACTCCTCTTGCTTCTTGAGAGAGCTCATGTCAATGATACGCTGGGATCTTTGTTGAGCCTCTGTTGTCTTTAAAAGTTTACTGTCCTGGAGATTTCTGTGAGAAGTATGTATGATTTTTTTTTTTTTTTTTTTTTTTTTTTTAAGCAGAACTTGTGATGGATGCAAACTAATTTACCTTGGAACCTGCTCCAAAGCATTGTCATTGCTTTAAATAACGTCCCTGCTGAGATGGTAGATGTGACTGGAAGTTGGCAAAGGGAAGAGCAAGAAAGAAAAGAACCCTTGAGGCACTCCAGTTAAAACAATGTTGTAGCCTGTCACTGAATTATGCGAGAAACTGTTAGGCAACCTGCTATGGACCATGACAAATTATCCCTGGAGAGCCCTGCAAGATGAACACAAGTAGCTATGAAGGAATACTGTGAAAGCCCAAAGCTGTTGCCTGTCTATAAGGCTGAGTGGCATTATGCATGTTTCTTACTGACCCTGTTAGGTGAGCAACACCTAGTGATTATTTGTCCTCTGGAGTAAGGCAATACCATGAGTTTTTTATTAAACAGAGAACTTGGAATAAATGGTGACAGCAAATCAGTCATTAATTATTACTGACTCATCATGTTCTGTTTGTAGGCCAGCAGCAGAGATCTTTAAATTACGTTAATTGCTACTTGTACTCTCAGTCATGCAAAAAGAAAATTTAGACTGCATCTGGTGATCACCCCAGCATGGAAAAAGTCACCCGTTTCCTTCTGGTACCCATCTTGTTACTTCTTGCAATAGGCTGAAGTGCTGTCGGGGAGGAGTGGGGTTGAACTCTGATGTCTTTCATCTGCCAATTCAGGACAGTGAGCTCTGCCCAAAGGGTAGTGCCAGTAGCATAAGCTAGGACAGGCCTGTGGCATCTTCTTGATGCCAGGCCAGACATCCACTCTGTCACTGCTGGGCCCAAGTCATCCCATTCCAGCAACTCCGTGATGTCAATGAGAAACAGACTGCTCATAACGACAGGGCTTGGCATTCTTTCTCCAACTGTTAGAGCAGTAGGCACTACTACCGTGTGTGCGCCAGTAATGTGTGACAACATTAAATCTCGTTCCAAGTGAAATTTTTCTTCAGTGTTTGACTTACAGACAGGTAATGTGACAAACCTATAAAAGGCAGGAAGGAAACCTGCACCACCTCACATAGCCTTGTCTTTACCTGCAAAGGGCTTCTTGGTTTAGTAAATGTCTTTAAGTTACTTGGACAACAGCTTATTACCCGAGCTGGCTGATCTTTTAATGGAGCTTTATACTTGGAATGAGCTGAAGAAAATGAGGCATGTTTGCTGAAGATGGTAGACTTTTCTTTGATGTTGTGACAGCTTTCTACATTTCTTTAAAAGGCTTGCTTAATTCTTTGGGTGGTGGAGAAATCGTCTTTACCTAAGAATAAATGAAATCTGAAATTCCTGAGCAGCATTGAGAGCTCAAAAATAAACTCTGCAGAGGAGACGTTCTGTGTTGGTTTGCTTTTCCCCATGAGATCCATTTTAAGTCCCAGTGTGTTGTTTAGAGTAGACTATTTCTATGCTGTTTAGGGTATTATTAGCTTTTTTGTATAACCCCTGAACTTGTTGATCAAGAGTTACTCTCAGCTGATAGGAAGTAACATGACAGATAAGTTGGAGTTTAAATACTATAGATCACTTGAACTCGTAATGTGAATGCAGCTAAACAACACATGAACTTGACTAGAGGATCAGGTTGAAGGATGGGATATTTTGGAAGGGTTAGCCAGATGCCACACGTGGAGCAGAGCTATCAAATATATGTCAATTCAAATGTATTTTAGGTACCAAACAAGTTCTTCCACCTGAGTGTTATCTCATGGAATTAGTTTAGACTCACACTAACTGAAGGAGGCCAGTATTTATACCCTCTAGAGGGTATGATCATCATTCATTTTGTTGGATGTAGCTATAATATTGAGGAAGATGTAAGTTTGTGTTTTTGCATGCAAGCTGTCATGCTGTTAATTCATGTCTAGTATCTGTGAACCATCCAATGCAGTGTTTCTTTCAGACAGCAACCAGTACTGGATGCTACCCAAGACATGAAAATCCACCTAAAAGACAAGCATGAGAAAAAGGCATCGTCCTGTTCTTTAATCATTGGAAACTGTCTCACAATTGGAATCATAAGGATTTTATATTTCCTATAAGATGCGTCTACTTTGAAATTCATCTCTCCTTTGTCTATTTGGAGATGCAATGCTTAGAAGGTCACCTAATCACCTCTTCCTCTCCAATAGTGTAAAATCATATTCTGTGATTTCTTCCAAGCAAGTCATATTCATCTGACTGAGGTGAAAAGCACTAGAATGAAATCATGCTTAGCAATCATGCTAAACCCTTTCAACACATGCACAATTTGTGTCTTACTAACATTTACGCACAATTGCAGTTACTGCCTTTCTGCTAGGCAGCAGCTGGGGGCTGACTGTGGGCCAGCTGCAGCCTGCCACAGCCACCACTGGAGTGCCTGCATGTATAAAAATAATAAAACATCCAACCCTACAGTTATTTAATTGCAGCTGCGATTTTGCAGCTGTGGAGTCACACCATGAGAAATGTATTCAATGCTGCAATTCAGTGAGCATGCTTTTCAGGCCAACACATTTGCCTTGTGAACTGAAGAGAAATGAGCTCTGTAGACCTAGTTCTTCCTCTTTCTCTTTTTCTTGTTGCTATCCGTTTTTGCTTTCTGTCGCTTGCAGTTTGCTGTACTCACAAATAGAGATAAGCATCCTTCATGCCATCAACCTTTGAGGACCACTAAGTAATTGCTTCCCTGTCTGTGAGCAGCTTAAAGAAATTGTCTAAGGAAATGATTATGAATGTTTTGCTCTCTTGAATTGTCATTCTTCCACTTCTATCAAATGTTTACTGTGTGACTTCAGACAAGTCATTAAACTGTTTTGTAATTACTTTACTCATCTATTGCTAAAGTGATGGTGGTAATACCTTAAAGAAGCACTTTGGGCTTAATTTAATGATAATATAATTGTTTGAAACATCTAAATGTTTATTTGAAGAAAGATTGTCCTACTGAAGGACGGAATTCACATTAGAAGCACCTTTAGCATACTCTGAGGGAGGGTGGGGATGATCCACTTCTTTTAAAAAAAAAAAAAAATCAAAATGGAAAAAAAAGACTTTAAAAAACAAACTCACTAGAAAGTTTTGGTGATAAAACTTGACAGCTGGCCAGAAAAAAACAGGACAAAAACATTATCAGCTTTCTGGAAAATGCTGTATACTTCTATCTGGTTTTGTTGATGTTTTTTTCAGAGGGTGGTTGTAAGCACTGTTATACCATAAAAATTAAAGCTATTTAGTATTTTACAGCACTATATAACATCATTAATCATGTTTTTTTTTTTTTGTTGTTGTTGTTTTGTTTTGTTTTGTTTTGTTTTTTGAATTAAACTGGTCAAGAAGGGTAAAAGGCTGTTTGTTTGAAGTTTTACCGAGGTTATCTCCCTTAGGCAACATACGGCTTTGTTTATAAATATTTCAAAAAGATAAGCCTCAAAGCTGAGAAAGCACTAATTTACCTGAGTTACAACTGTGACAACTGAACTATTTTGCCTGTATGTAGGAGGAAGAGAAGATCTTAAGGTCATTCTTATGCTACTTCTTATTCCACAGTGTTTTTACAATCTCAGCCAAAATAATTTGCAACCTTTATTCCAGTTGATCAGAGTGGCCTACTTGAATTTGCATTGATTTTTGCAGGGGATATTTCTGTGAGCTTACCTATATTGACTAAATGTTATGCAGCTGAGTCTTTAATCTCTCTTGGGTCTGAGAGTGGCAGGATAGCTCAAAGAACAAGGAGCCCTGAAGAAATTCAGAAAGGAAGAACACTGTTGGGTATCATCGGATATATTCTAGAGACTTGTTAGCCTTCCTGCCTTTTGTTATGATTGTAAATAGTCGTCATGCTTATTTTTGTTTCAAATCCATCTTCAGGCACAGATTTTATTCTTCTGTACTTTCTTTCCATGTTGCTCCACTGATAGAAACACTATGGAACACACCTCCACTGAGGAAAAAGAAAAAAAGTCTGGAAGTTGTATCTAGGCTTGCTGATTCTCAGCAGTGACAGAATATTGCTTTTGTTTTTTCAGAAAGCAGTTTAGAAAACCTCTTGGTTCAAGGTTGGAGCTTAGCATAGTTTCTCCTTAGAGGCAGATGTCATATTACCCAGTATGTTGCACTTTGCAGTAAATCAGTGCTGTCATTCACCTGTTAGGTCTGAATGTGTATTAACTAAAACATCTTCAACTCTTTTACAGAGGTAGGCAAAGTCGTCTTTCCCCATGAGGAGCTTAAAAAGAGTTTTCTGTCTAGACAGAGAAAAACTGTAGTCCTCTGTCGATTTAAGTAAAGATAGGCAATATGGTCCTATTCTTTGGTTAGTAACTGAGCGTGCTGAGTTAGATCAGCCGCAAGATATAAATTGCTTTCAGTGGCACTGCATCAGTTTTTACCCATGGGCCTTCTAAGTAGAAGAGTTATAACTGTAAATTACCTTTCCATATGGCTTACAACAAGTGATCGAGAGGTTATATTAGCACTCTCTTCTTGTCCCCTCTTCTCCACATCTAAATAAGGGATTTTGTCAGCTTGGTACTTTGTCTTCTGCCTTCCCATGGAAATATTTCAACTTTTGATCAGGAGCTGATATTTATTTTTGACTTGCTGAAACAGGACAGTGCTTCTAGTCTGAAAGATTTTAAAACACTTTGCTACTAAGGTTGGATGCTGATTATTGATTTTCTTCTTGGGTGTCTTCACATCAATCGATCCCCAAATATTCCTAGTTCATTCCCCTTTAAGAGATTATTCTTCTATTACATTACATTAAAACAAGTTGGAGTGGGGTGAGAGGAAAAGCTAAGCGAAAAGCCCCAAATGTTTGGATAAGCACTGTATTCTCCATTCTGAAATATTGCTGATACCTTCTGATGTATAAAGCTTCCTGATTCAATTCAAGAACAGCGTTAAAAAATGAATGGTAAGGACCAGTTGCCCTGATCCAATATATTTTAGGAAGCTAGTTAAGAATTTTCTGACTTTGGAAGATGCTGAGTGCTTGCAACTCTATTGAACTTCAATAAGCAGTGATGAGTAGTTCCATATTTTGAAAAATCAGGTCATTTATTTCAGTATTCAAGTAACTTCACTTTACAAATCTGTTTCAAGAGGGAGTTTTTTGATCGTACTAGCCCCCAATTAAAATTTGCCAATTGCTATGCAAAAACAGCTTAGATTTCTGCTCACACAACTGTATATGAACCACTTACGTTTGTTCCTATCTAGTGCCCTAGTTTTTCTTTGACTTTTGTTTTTTACTAGAAACTGCTAGCCAGACTGTTACCAATAATGTGGTTGGCCTGGTTTCTGTTGCAAGTCTTCTGGCTCCCCTGAGATTGTGATAGTCCCTTTTAGGAATCTTAAATTTCTCTATGCACCCTGAATTTTCAGTGCCAGCTTTACTCTTTAACTTGGCCCAGTCTTGCTAGTGTGTGTGAGCTGTCCTGGAGAATTAAGTTCAATTTTTATTTCTTTTTCCAGGTTTACTGCCTTAAATGTGTATATTTTAACATTTTTTTCTGAATATTTTGCAGACCTCTACAAGCCAATCAGGCTTCTCTAGTGGATACTTTATTTTAATAAGTGTATATTGAATGCTTCGTTTAACTTTCCTATTGTGAAGTGCCCAGAGACACTGTGCTTGGATGAGCAGTGATGTAAGTGCAATTTGTTTTAGGGTTGTTCTATTTTTTTTTTGTATCAGAATTAGCATTCAGCTGAGGTTTGAAGTCTCATAGCACATGTGCATGGGGGAAAATAAATGAATAAAAAACTGAGTGCATCTACAGACAACCTAGACTGCTTGGCATATCTGTGGCTGCTTGCCCTACCCGTTGGCGAATCAGTCCCTCAAATGGCCTCCTAATAATTCTGGAGTGGCTGTTGCCTCATCTCTGAGGATACAGTGAAGGATTATCTTCCTGCTAGCATAGCAGAGGACATTGCATTTGCTTTACTAAGAA